GTGGTGCTTAGTTGCTGGCTGGGGCTAAACCACGACACCACAGGACTTCTTCCGGTGACTTCAAGGGGCAAGAATCAATGCCAGGAAATGATCATATTTAAAGGGGGAACAATCCTTTTTTCCTTTAAAAGGAGCAGGCTCAGACTTTTCAAGGCTGGTTTTGAGTTAAGATCAAATGGAACAAGCAAACACGTAATTTTTGGACAAAAGTCACCAGTCCTGAAGAAAAGCTGTTCACTTCATGGGTGTCATCAACATCAAAAGCATAGCTTCCAGCAGGCAGCAAAGTAGCCATAGAGAGGGGCTTCTGTGGCCTTGGCACAATAGATATCATGTATTGAAACTCCTCCCTTTCCTTTCACATCTGCAGAGACATTTTCCCCGTATGTGTGACCATGAATTAAAAGTTTGAGATAGTTATAGGGGAATTAACTTCATCTGGGCTGTGAAACATGAGAATACAGCAATTACAGAAAAAATTTCAAAAAATGTGTGATCTGCAAATACATTCTGGCTTCAGTATGGATTAAGTCCATGTAAATATAGATGGGGAACAACCAACGTAATATCAATAGTAGATTTATATAAGCATATTATGGACCTGAGTTAATTGGCTACACCAGAAACCAGTTTAACTATTAGTCATCATCAATAACATATATTGGGATACCCAAGGTATATCACCTTTAATAAAACAGTGAGCATATTGTAGAACAAAACCCTCAAATTGTAAGAATCTCACATTGAAAAGCTGTGTCTCAAGGGAGGGGATATAGCAGTGTCGAAAATTACAGTATGAAAAAAAAGAGATAGACTACTTCTGCATTTATTTATCATTATCATACAGTTCAGGTTGGAAGGGACCTCAAGGGGCCCAAAAGTACCGTCTGCCTTGACCCCCAGGGCCATTTCTGCAGAGCTGGTCAGTCCCCAGCCTGTGTCATTGCAGGGGGTTCTTGCTTCTCAGGGCCTGGACTTTGCGTTTATCCATACCATATTTCATAAGATTCCTGTTGGCCCATTCTGCCAACCTATCTAGGTCCCCCTCAACGGTCATCCTGCCAGTGTGTTGGCTGTTACCCTGAAATTGGAGTCACCTGAAAACTTGACATGAGTATACTCCATGTCCTTCTCCAGGTCATTGATAAAAATGTTTAACGGGACAGGTCCCAGGATAAACTCCTGTGGTACTCCACTTATTCCAGGCAGTGTACGACCATAAACTGCTATGCTCTGAGTATAATCATCCAGACGGTTTTTCACCCATCAAGTTGTCCACCCAACTAGATCAAAATCCTATGAACACAAGAGGTGGAACTTGTGTGTTTTTATCCATAGAAATAAAATACAAAACAATAATTTTGTTTGATGGAAATATATATATTCCATTAATTCAGTTTGCAACCAAATAAGCTATCTACTGCTTGTTAAAGAGAGAATCCCCATAGTTCAAAGACAATGGTGCATGGTTAATAGTGACAAAGCAAAATGTAGATTTGAAGACAATATGTCCTGACACTTTGCACCGACTTTTTTTTTGTGTGTGGTACATATATGTTCTAAATGTTGACATGCTAGGCTATTGGGTGAAAAAGGAAAATAAACCTTTAAAAGGTAAGGTATGAGACATGTCTAATTAAAACTCTGACTGACATTTAACAGATTTATACTTCCGACTTTTGGTCATTCTAAGATTGCATCTGCTGTTTTATGACAGCATAGCATTTTGGGTTTCATTTTCTTTGTTTTCTTTTATTTGTGGAATTTTTATTAACTAAATAAGTACTGTCAGATCCCCAAAATGCTAGGTGACTGGTACAGTAAAACCTTATGAGGAGCGGCTGAGGGAACTGGGATTGTTTAGCCTGGAGAAGAGGAGGCTGAGGGGAGACCTTATTGCTCTCTACAACTACCTGGAAGGAGGTTGTAGTGAGGTGGGTGTTGGGCTCTTCTCCCAAGTAGTTAGCGATAGGATGAGACGAAATGACCTCAAACTGCGTCAGGGGAAGTTTAGATTGGGTATTAGGAAAAATTTCTTCACAGAAAGGGTAGTCAAGCATTGGAACAGGCTGCCCAGAGAGGTGGTGGAGTCACCATCCCTGGAAGTGTTCAAAAAACAGGCAGATGTGACACTTTGGGACATGGTTTAGTGGGCATGGTGGTGTTGGACTGATGATCTTAGAGATCCTTTCCAACCTTAATGATTCCTAGTTTTTACTTTCATTAAAAATAATGCAGCCATCAAACCAGGAAACATGAAATTATTACTCTACCCTTAATTGGTTTAGTGGTGGACTTGGTAATGTTAGGTTAATGGTTGGACTGGATGTTGTTAAAGGTCTTTTCCAACCTATACGATTCTATGATTATTAGAGTGGTCTTATGAGTGAAGCATTTGGTGCTAAAGCATGGAGAACTTGAGTCACTTGTCCAGTGTAAAATAGCAAATAATGCCAGAAGACTGACTAAAATAGGGGAATGACCGGTTTACAGTTCTATAGCCATTATACATTACATATTCATTATCTTTTATTTATTATATAGGAAAAATTTTCACCACAAAATTTCAAACTGCAATATTCTGAGTTTTTATATTTCTTTATTTTTCTAATACTGGATTTAATCCTGTAAGGTACTGAATCTCTAGAGTAACCTGGAAAAACTGAAATTCTGTTGACTGCCAAAACAGCTGGAACAATCCTTAAGTTTGCACGAGCCCCAGGGAAATGGCATAAAGAGGAGCAATTTCCTACAAACTTCACCTGTGTTTCTACCGTCCGTAGCCAGAACAACAGATGATAAACTACTGTGCCTTTATGAAACAAGAGATCATCAAAATTACTCCCAAATAATTGTGTAAGTTTATAAATAAAGATCTGCTGTGTACCAGATACTCTGCTAATATACTACTTATGTTTCCATGAAAATAATTACTTTCCTCCTGCCAAAGGGCATTTTTTCTTAACTAAAAATTAGTGTCTGCTAATCAACAAAGCTGACTAACTGTGTAGGTGTTTTCTCCTGATATTTGTCTGAAAAGACTGAATTTAGATTAAGCCACTTTCTTTCATCAGAAAATTAGTCTGTAGATGCTTTATTCTGATCTGGGAGACCTAGTTCTCTCCCACAACAACCAAATGCCCTTCTGCATCACTACTGTTGTGGAAATGTAATGCAGGACAATTAATCATTACTAAAGGTTTTGAAAAGGCCAAGGGTTGCATGTGCAAAACATTGTGCTTGACCATCAAAACAGCTGCAGCTTTGGCAGGAAAAGTTTTGAAAACAGAGGGGAAGTTAGCAGGACTTTACACCCAGATACCAGTCAGAATGAAAGGGAGAACCAGTGTGCTCCATAGTCAGAAAGGAGAAAAAGTCATGTTAAAGCAGCTGTTTATCTGAACACGGGAATGATTCAGTAGCTAGTGGTAGGTATTCAGGGAAGAAGTAGCAAAAAAGACAAAAAGCACAGCATTAATGGCACTGAATGCTACACTGCTGTAATGATTATTCATGTAAAAAGTCTACTTTCAGGTGAACCATCTTCGTTTTTGAAGTGCCTAATACATTATTTAGCAATGAACTTGAAAAGCACATAGATTTCAGACTGTATGAATCTGTGAAGCATGCACTGATGGCTTCATATTCCAAAGGACAAACAAAGCATAGCCACCAAAAGTAAGAATAGTCATAAAATCTTAAATCACTTACTTGTACTCGTGTGACATGTAGGTACATAATACAAGCCACTAGGAAGCATATGCAGAACACCAGGAGAACAAGAACTACGGTACTCCTAGAATCAAAAGACAATAGAAGTAAAGCAATACAGCTCAGTAGCAGATGAGAACAAACAGCACAGGGGTCCTTCTGAAATGGTATGTTGGATGAATGGTGGAGGATCTCCCCCTCACCCATGCTGTAATACTAGCCATCACAGAGGAAATTTCACAGTGAAATGCACTGCTCTCAAGAATGAGAAATCAGTAAATGCTGTTGTATATGGTGCCCACTCTGACCTCAGCAAGATCAAAGCATCTAGAAAATTCTACTGTATGGTGTGTCAGGAGAAACACTTTCTAATTGTAGGCTAATGCAGAATATTCAGTGCGATGACTCTTATAAGTGGTGTGTGTAACCCAATTACTTGGCTTTGGCAGCTGTGTGACAGTTACCAGATGCATTTCCCTTCTAATCTCTCCTCAAAGATTCAGAAATCAGAGGTCAACTCAGTCACTTATCAAGTCAAATAAAATCAGACCAGACTGTGATCCCTTGTTCTAAAGAAACAGAGCAACTCCCTCATAAGGGCTTTTAGTGGCTATGCTGCATGTGTGCCTCCATAATTGGACAGCTTAGGTTGACAGGAACATAGCCTTACTTTCACCAACTCCATCTGGGGATATAAAATATGTCTTTAGACGAGACGCTGTTTTTCTCAGATGATCATAGGAATTGGGAGAATGTCATGCCCACTGCTTTCTGAGTACTTACGCAGAAACTAGCTTTCTTGCAATGTTTTCTTTCCTCTAGATTCTGAACCTCCTCCTTGGAATATTGTGATACATGTCAAACACCATTATTATCACTTCTCTCATTATAGTAACAGATTACACTTCTTGTCTTGGCTTTTGCATTCTCCTGTCATACTTAACAACTGCTTTAGCAATCTAAAGAGCAACTGAAAGCTCCAAGTTCTGTGGATAGGGGAAATTTTCCAATACTGCCAAAGTTTTAGTCTACCTCATGGTTGCATCTGTGTCACAGCAGCGAAGAGCCCAAGAAGACTAGTAATTTGGTTGTATGAAGCTACCACCAACAGACACTGAAAGAGGGAACTTAAGACCATTCAGTGCGTGGCTTCTCTAACCCAGTGATGAAACAGTGCATCTTCATGGCCTTCAGTGGTCACGTTCTGCTAGAGCTTGTGTGTCTGTCAGATCAGACCTTAAACTGAATCTCTGTCCAGCTGTTTTTTAAACGACAGTACTTTTTGGAAAGGTTACCAACTACCATACCATATGATTACTGGAAATTCATTCTAGCTTCAACTACACTAATACTCTTTGTCTCTCCTTGTTCTAAATTGCCATATACTGCAGCTGGGCTTTACTTCAGAAGTAGGTGAAAAACTTCTTAACTATGCTCCAATTAGTCAACAGAGGTCATTAGTCTGGAAATTAGATGATTTTTGCAAGTGACTTTGAATTCTTCAGATGAAAGGTATTATATAACAAATTTACATGACGATGATTATTATTAAAGTAAAAAAGGTCTTTCTCAAACTTTCAATTAGAAATAATAGAATAGAGGAGTAAGTATTATTCTGACTGGGGATTTGTGAATAGAAAAGACCAGAATTCAAAACGGGATTTTCAAAGCATTTATCCTGTGGCCAGTCCTATTCCCATTGAAATCCTAATAATTAGTAAAGGTGAGTGAAGCTTATTTTGTATGTTTTGATATTCTCATCTGAAAAAGGTTATTACTAATCATTTTTATACCTTGAACACAATTGTATCTACTTATTAGAACCCCTAGATTTGAAAGTGAAGTCTAATTATTTTTTTATTTAGTAAACATTCACATAGAATTGACAAAATCTGAAGTAATCACTAAACTATATCACTCAACAATAGACATCAGACACTCCACAAATACATCATGAGTATTTGGTTATGTCTGCTTTAGTGTAGCCAAGGTCTGACTGCAACTCATGTGGGAATGGCCAAACTACACACTAGGCAGTTTGCGTAGTGATAGGATCGATACCAAAAACCTCAATTCAGGCTATAAATTTAGGTTGAAAAGCTGATTGGATACTTCAGCACTTAGTTCCTGTTAAGCTCTGTATAGTTGTATCTATGTTGCTATCAATACCTGAAGTACCTCATCGAAGGCCAGCACAAATACATTTAGAAAAGCTGCAGTAACACCTTTGTTTGTAATGCTTTAAATAAATTTAGCAGATTTCAGTGTTTTTGTCTTCTAAGTGCATCCTTCTACAAAAGAAAAAAAATAGAGAGAGAGAACAGGGAAGAAATTGTTTTAAATAAGATAGCAAAATGTGTCTCCTTTGGACAAGTGGAAGCAATAACAGTTAGACTGCGGGTATACCAACAGAGAATCTCCTGTTTGAGAAGATACTGACTGGCGTGACGATTCCCATTCCAAAGACATTAATGTTTTAACCTGTGCAGGATGCTTGAAGATGTTCCTCTTCAAATTATAATGGCAAAAGACAGAAACTTACTGTGGTATTATTAGAAGGTAGACAAGGCCAAATAAGGCAGCTAGAATTAGTGAGAGAACTACAGCACTGGTGAAGTACTCATCCTGAAGCTGGTGGTACTGTTAAAGAAAGGAAGAAATGAAGACAGTGAGCATTTTATACACACCCAGCCACCCACACTTGTCCATTCTCAGTAAGAAAGAACTATAGCCTAAAATAAAACAAGCCCCTACCCATTCTACAAATATACAAATAATCATTGCCTAATTCACATGAAAAAAAAGATGAGCCAAGTCTACACAACATTTTCCTTGACAACCTTCTGTTTCAGCTGCTCCTGTTGGCCTAGCTGTTTAGCTTTCACCCTGTAACTAGTCAAATCTGGGTTAGGCTCAGACATAAGTTTATCTTTCAGAGAAAAAGGATTCAGCCATTTTGAACCAGGAGGAGGTGGCACTCCCTCCTCTCCACTTATTCGTCCCCAGAAAAGGCCAAAACCACCTTGGTGCTGCCTTCAAAGGGTCCTGTTATCTCAGCTGCTCAGGACAGGACACTAATGGGTGGGCTGGAGGCAGCTGCTAATGAGAGACATGGGCTCAGTTTTGAGCAGTTACTGTCCCTGATTCCACTAAGCCACAGTCCTGACAACAGAACACTTTTCAGGGGTGGAAACGCATGAGTGTTTTCTCAGAAAGATCCAAATTTCAATCTCATTTACACCAAAAGACTTTCTTATTTTGAAATAAAACAATTACAATTAAATAATAAATCACTGTGGAAACTTGAAATCAAAGTTAATGCTCAAGACTTTAAAAAAAATTGAGTCCAATGTGGCACACAACCTTCTGACTTGAAACAGTAGTGATATGAAATCTCAGACTATGAAGTGACTTACAGTGGAAAAATAAATGCTGCTACCAAACGAATGCAAAATCATATCACTTTTGCTTTTTCAAACACATTAAACCAAAGGCTTTTGGTTTTTTTCGATTAAAACAATTTGTATTTACAAACCGAACCCATACAAGTTAGCAACAAACAGCTCTACTTCGTTAGTTTATATGCATGCTTCTAAGTCTGGAGTAAGTCCACTGCTTTCAGCGCAGTCACACTGGCATAATATCACAACCTTGCCCAGAGATTTAAGATTTTTTTATATTTTCCAGGATTGATGGGATCAATACTTATCAGGCTACATATGCAGAGGGAAGCATCCTCCTGTCATTAATGCTTCTCAAGAGCAGATGAGTTAGTAGGCAGCCACATTGCCACAAGACAAACAGGTGACACAGGTCAGGCAGTTTGGAGAAGCAAAAGGAAGGCCAAAACATAGGTTGTGTAACTTTGTGGGGGAGGATCTTGATGAGTAGAAAGGTACTGATCTTTTTTTTTTAATCCCCCTCCAAGTGCTTCCATAGAAGGTGGAGATAATGTCTCCCTCTTAACTGAGAGACAGTCCAGAGGATTATTTAAAGATAGTGAGTAGAATTTAAATATTGTCTAAAAACAAATAAAAAACCAATGCTAGTTGGCTCATGGTCAGTGAAATCAGTAAAAATAATTTTAAAATCCCTTACTTTATTTTCACGCTCAATTTGCTTATACTTCAGGGTAATGAAGTTCAAGTCAGCCATCTCAGACTCAGTTTGCCGGGCCTCTATCAAACGGCTGATGTATCTGTTTACTCGAGTTCCTGGAGTGTTGTATACAACATTGGTAGAAAAAGAGGAACGATTCCTGAGTTTTTCAGAGGCTGTCCTTAATGCTCTCCTCTGTAGCACAGATGAAGAAAGAAGCATAGATTTTATTAACATTGAAATTTTTCATTGCTGTTCATATTGTCTCAAGTTCACAGCCAGGATGAGGAATTCATTAAGCAGAGCAACTACAGAAGACAGAGATCTTATCTCCCTGTGATTGCTATATTTTAAAAACTCCTTAGCTGAAATCCCAATCTCATTAAAATCAATGAGAAACTCCCCACTGCATTCCAGGATTTCAAACCTCATCTGCAGAAATTCTTATCACATACTGCCCTGACACTTCTCTGCCACTGAGGAAACAATCAGTTTGATCCCAATCAGTGTGACTTTACCTAGAAAAATAATTAGAATTTTTTTCTTGATGGAAGACACGGATCCCTGGACATGTTGAAGACAAGATAACCAGGCTCTTCATGATACAAGAAAAGTCCTACTGTCCAAGACTGTCTAGGTAACAATATATATTTTGAAAAGATAATTTTCCTTAACCTCTTGCACAATACCATATGTGACTTCAGATGGTCTGAAATCTCAAGTGTTCCTATCTTTAACTCACCCAAGTGGCTCTCGTGTTAAGACCTCTTGGGTATGCCTTAAGTGCACTTGCAGATCCAGATGGAGCAGTCCAATAAATTACCAGAGCTAACCTGTGCCTCAATGGGGTTAATTCCTCCATGGCTGAGATAGCACAACTGGCAAGATGATCGCTCATAGTCCTTTTCAGTGCAAAAGGTTTATCACAGAGTGTATCTGAAAGGGATTTTGGACAGTCTGGCTCACTTTTCAGAGAGCCTGGAGAAGATGGTGAGCAGCATCTCAGCCACACTGGTGCTACACTTCAGTTGCGGGCACTGTAATCTAAACCATTATAGCTAGATCTGTACTAGTATGACTGCCCATGCCCCAGCACACTGAAAGGATTGGGGCCTTCACAAAATATTCTTGTAGATGTGGCGTTTTTTAAACACAGAGTGAGAAAGATTTAGGCCAATCTTGTAAAACAAAAAAGAGTCACCTAATGGTTAGCACACTAAGCAGGAAGAGACATCAACTGAATATAATCTTCACCTCAAAAGGGGTCAAGCCTTACTTCCCAGAAGAGTTTTGACAACCAAGCTCAGGCAAGTTGTACTATTTTTATACAGTTAAAAGAATACTTTTTCATCTAACATCTGCAGAGTTCAGGAAGACAATTTGAAACATTTTGAAATGACAAATCTGCTCAGGGATAAGGACAACGTTGGCTCACGATATAATCAGTAGACTGTGTCAGCAAGCTGTTACAAAAGCACACAAAATTTCTCTCTTCAGAGCAGTTGGTACTTAAGAGCCCAAGCTTTAAAGGCTGTACAACAAAATTTCCTTTTAAACCAGATGGTGAAAAGAGGTGGTGATTGCTATTTAAGTAATTCTGCAGGAATGGCAGTTTCCTGTCTTGTTCCACAAGAAGTAGTTCTCATGAGATCCTCATCAGTGAACAAACAGTGGACTACAGCAGTCCATTAGCTTACATAGTAGATGTTGTATGTATATTACACCTGAATACTTATGAATGCTGGGAAGGGTTAACTGCTGACTGATACCTTAGTTTTCTGATTGTAAAGAAGAATGGACCTTAGCAAAGATAAAATAACTTTCCAAGTCCTGTTTTGCTGGCTTTATATGTAGAGACCAGGTTATACCAGCATCAAACAATTGTGAGGCTACTTGAAACATTTTTCTTCAAACTATCAGATCCCATTACTTGTTAAGTTGTCTGTGGTGTAAGAACTAATTGTTTCAACATGAAAAATAATCTTGTGGACATACATGGATTAGAGCTTTCAAATCCGATCTTCTGGGTTCTGTTAGCCATAACAGAAGCCTTAAATTGCCAGCCAAACAACTATTCTAAATGTTTCTAAACAGAGATAAAGTTGTTCTCTTGCAGAAGACATTTGACCCACAGAT